CGAATTGTCCCTGTTCATACTTACATTTCCTTAATTTTCTCTGTGAGGTGGGATGAAGATGGAGGGACATTGGACTTAAACCCTTCCCTAGTCTCCAACACATGGAGCTGCAAGTTTTGACCCTGCTATAAATTTATCTTGAAGGGAGCTGGGAGACTTTTGAAATGAGAGGAGAGAGTTGCTTCCTCACTTTCCTTTTGGAGCCCCCAGTTCTTGGACCTTGTCCCTTCTATTTTTCAGTATCTAGACGCAAGACCTTCTTCTCAGCCTCTTTCAGTTCATAGACTTGTTAATCTAAGGCAACTCAGCCTTTGAGGAGGGCTATTTTGCCTATATACTCCCTGCTTCACTTTATATTTTTTTGTATCCATGGTATTGAAAGGAGAGATTAGGAATCTCTCCCCCCTTTTTTTTTTTTGCAGTACTGGGGTTTGAACTCAGGGCCTAGGGCCTACACCTTGAACCACTCCATTAGCCCCCACTTTTTTTTTTTTTGGTAAGGTTTTTTTTTCCAAGGTAGGATCTTGAGAACTATTTACCTGGATTGGCTTTGAACCGCTATCCTCCTGAGTAGCTAGGATTATAGGCATGAGCCATTGGCACCCGGCAAATTTAGGAATCTTTGAGTCTGTGGTCCAGACTTGGTGAGCCCCTATTTTCCTTCTTTAACTATGTCAGGGTGATTTTTAATTCTAGTTGCCTCTGAGTCCTGGGTTGAGAATCTTCATGTTGACGGGACCATTTTCCTCTCTCAGTTCTCTTACTGTGCCCTTAATCAGCCTTGATTCATCATCCTCAGAATTATAATATCAGGCATTGTCCTTCATAAGCTTCATCCCTTTGATCTTGCAACTATTGTCTTCCAAATGTTGGGGTATGTCAGCTTCTCAGAAACTTCTGGTAGGGGAATTCTGCCCATGTGCAATAGTGGGTGTATTTTGTCCTTTCAGCCCCTGAGGGAGCCCTGCATCTGGTACACTCCTCCTTCTCTGAGCCTGGAGTTGGGGCTTTCTGCTTCTGCAGGACTCTGCTCCTGAAGAAAGGGGCACTGGAGAGCAAAGGCAGATGTGGAAGGAGCCATTCAGAGTTGTTGGCCTTCACTGCTGCCTCCATCTGCTCCTTCCTCTTTTTCTGGCTCCCAGTTAATCTCATTTACTGGCGTGTCCCTATTAAACTAGCACGGGAGGTCCTTGAGATGGCATCTGGTTAATTGGGCAGGGAGTCAGGTGCCATGTTGGGACTTATACCCCAGAGGCCTGAGGGAGACCAGAAATTCACTCTAAGGCTCAGCATGCTACTCTCTTCCCCAGTCAGGGCCCCAGCACCCATTCCTAACCCCTTCCTGAGCCCTACTGCTTCTGTCCCTCCCCCAGTTCCATCCTTTTCTAGTATATCGGATTAGCTGGCTGGGCTTCGGGCTGTTGTAGGATTGGGCTATCTCTAGAGTCCTTTGCTGATTACCTGGGACCAGGGAGCCTGTGAAGGGATAGCAGGTTTTGCCTTGGCCTGCCTGGGTTGGGGTGGGGGACTGATGTGAAGTAACTTGTAGTTGAAGGACCTGACTTTAGTCCCTGTGTCAGGCATGTAAGGTGCTGGAGATCAAATTGCTCACAGGGCAGAGAGGCTGCAATGGGGAGACTGAGGCAGTAAAAGTGGGTGGCATGCAGAGCAGAGGCAGCAAGTGGAGCATGGGAGGGGGATTAAGATGGTGAGAGAAGCAAAGAAGTTGGGGATAGGATGTGGAAAATGGGGTATAAGGATCAGGGGCCAGAGCTATTGAAGGATGGAGAGGATGCAAGAGGAAAGCCTGAAAAGGGGTGAAGACAACAGATGCCCAAGGAGGGGGAGTGTCTCCGGTAGAAGGCTAGGGTCCCATGATTTGAGGATCAGGAACTGGGGGATGGGGCTAGGATGTGGGGGAAGATGAGAGTTTGCTGAGGCCCTGGCGGGAAGAGGGGGCTGTCTGAAGGGTGGAGAGAGGGGAGCCAATGGGCTGGAAGAGAGGGAGGGGGAGGAGCTGGTCAGGCCCCAGGGCCTTCCGCACTGCACTGGCCAGGGGAAGAGGAAGCTCCTGGGCGGGTGGCCTGGAGCCTGAGGCGGTGGACTATTCCAGTGACGTCTCGGTCCCTATCCTCAGAAATACCGCTATCAAGATGAAGACACGCCCCCTCTGGAGCACAGCCCTGCCCACCTCCCCAACCAGGTAAACGCCCCCGAACTGGTGCACGTGGCGGAGAGGAACTTATCCCACCTCGAGGCAGTCCACGGGGTCGTGGGCCACGCCCACCTCTCTCCCCTCAAGGTAGGAGACTCTGGTGGCCCCCTCCCCAGTGCGGGCCCCCGGAAACTTGGAGCTGCTGCAATCCTCAAGGGCCGGTAGGGTGAGAACTGTGGGGGGGGGGAAGGTTGGGATTTGGGGGAGGGCAACTAGGGCTTGGGCTCTTGGGGCCTGGGGAAGCAGGCAAGTGGAGGTGGGCTGGAAACACTTTGGTTCCATAGAGGAGAAACAGGCCAGGCCAGTGGGAGTGGGTGCAGTAGCTTAAAGTCAGAATGTGTGTGACTGACAGTGCGTAGCTGTGCTGTGTGAGCATGTTGAGGTGTGTGTGTTTGTGTGTGTTCTGAGATGTGTGGATCCCCCAGGACGCCCCCCAATGCCAGGGCCCCCTCATTCCTTCACACCCTCAACCTCCGCTCCCGTTTTTTCTGTGTCCAGAGCTCTGTTCTAAGCGCCTGCTGCCCTCATTTGCTCCTGTCCCTTCCCAGCCTCCTCCCCCATCTCCGCCTCTGGGCCTGGCTCTCCCTGTCCCCAGCTCTTTCCATCTGTCTGGCCTGAGACTTCATGTTGTTGCAGGGCCTTTCTGTCTCTTCCCCTGCCCCAGACTTTGCTCCCCTCCTGTGCTCCCTCCTCTTCTGCTGCCGTTTCCTCCCTGCTGGCTGGCTGGTTCTTGATGCTGTCTCTCTCTTCCTCCCACGCATGCATCTCCTTCCCCCTAGCTGATCCCCAGCTCAGGCCTCTGAAGTCTGATGGTCTTCTCCCTTGGTCTTTCCCATTTTCACCCTTTTCTGGACATCTCTATCTTTTCTCCTCTCTGGGCATACCCCCACCGTATTTTCTTTCTGTTCCCCTGCTCCCCATTATTATTCACCACCACCTGTTTTCCCTTCTTTCCTTCTTCTTGTTCACAGTAATCTTTCCCTTCTCCAGCCCTGGAAGGCCTTGTTTCTGAGATCGTCCATCTTCTTCCCCCTTAATCACCTCTTCTGGGGACACAGGATAGGGAGGAAGGGAGAGCACTAGTCAAGTTATGAGATTAAGGGGAAGCCAACGGGTATGAGATGCTACAGGAAGAGGGTAGAGAGCTGACATTTCACCAAGAAGATGGGGAGGAGGTTTCTGAGCCAAGGGATGATGCAGGGAGGTGGCTGCAGCAGGCTCTGGGGCTAGGAGTGGCAGGAGAAGAGTTGGAGGGGGGTGGGAAGGATATGGGTCCTGGGGCAAGAGAGACTGGGATAAGGCTGAAATCAGGACAGTGCATTGAGCTGGTTGATGAAGGAAAATGATGCCCTGGAAATGGGAGTGGTGCAGAGTATTTGTGTGCAACTTTGGCTGCAAGGAGTACTGGAATCTTGCAGATGCCTTTTTCAAGATGGGGCCATTATATCCCTGCATAGGAGGAAGACAGAGAAGGGAGGCTTGAGGGGTGGTAGTACAGTGCTAGGAATCCTGGGACCAGAGCTCAGGAAGCAGATGGGAATGGAGGGAGAGGGCTGGCGGAGGCTATAGTGAGGGTGGGAAATCTCAGGACCAGCATCAGGAACAACAGGAAAAGCCCCAGTCTTCAGAGGAGATGGTGAGTGGGGTTGATAAATAAAATATTGAGGGTTTGAAGATGCAGTAAAGAAGAATGGTGAGGTTCTCTGGGGAATCGAATTGGGAGGGTAAGGACAGGAGATAACGGATGGGAATAGAAGATGGGATAGGGACAGAGAAGTTGGTGGAGAATGGAGATTGGGGCTGGAAGGTGGAAACTGAAGGCTGGGGACAGGGATCTAGATGGAGGGTATGGGGTGGGGTAGGGATAGGGATGAATAGTTGGGGATGAAGGACGGTATGGGGGAGGTTCTAGGATAAGGATGGGGTAAGGGTTGAAAGAATGAGCTTTTGGATGAGATTTCAGCAGTCAGTGACTATTGGTTGGACAACAGTGTTTGCTGTGATTTGGAGGGGAGGGAGAATGGGTTTAATAGATGTATGGGTGTGAAATCCATTACAGTACCAGAAAATGGTCGGGAGTTTCAATGATTGAGAAATAGGAAATAGGAGAGATCCTTTTGGAGGGGAAGAATGGGAAGGAGGCTGGGAAATCCTCCTCCTTGGTGGTCCCCAAATATTTAAGGGGAAAATAGGTTGGAGACCCTGGTAAGAGGCTCTTGGCAGCCTCCTCCTATTGCCATAGGGACGTGGCTTCGGTTACCTTGGCAACTGGGGAAGCCCCTAGGACCAGCCTAAAGCTGGCCCCGCCCCAGGAGTCTAGAGACCTGACTGCATTGAGGCGACTGACGTCATGGATTTGGGCATGCCTCACATTAACCCTTTCTTTAATGAAGTGGGGGAGGGAGTAGATGAGCATGCTGGGTCCCGGATGTCTTTTACCACTCCCTCTTCCTGACGTTCTTTGCACTGCATAGGGTGAGAGGCCCAGGAGAGAGGGGAAAGCAGGTTATTCAGGATGTGTTGCGCTCACAGCCGGATAGCTGGGAGTGGTACCCAGGGCAGGAGAGGCAGGACTAGTGTTGCTCTTCTGCACTCTGGTGCCTGGCTGACCCTAGGCCATGCTCCTCCCCATCCCTGTTGTCCTGACGACTGGGCCTCCAGGAGGTGTGTTTCCCTAGGTCTTGGCTGGTCTTACATACGTTGCTAGGCAACATGGTCCCTGGAGGAAGGGGTGGATTGGATAGCTGGTGGGTGAGAAGGAGGGAGGGACTTGCAGCTGGGGAAACCCGGGGTTCCCAGGGCACAGGGTTTAGAGCAAATGTGTGTGAAGCTAAGGGACAAATCTGGGGGAGGGTTATGAAGATATCTGAGTAAATATGAAGGGATAAAGACAGGAAGCAAGGAAGGAAGGGGAGAGGAGGATCTGATGGACATGAGCCCTGGGGTATACGAGCGTAGCACATAGGTATGTAACACCCAGTGGTGTTACATCCGGTGAAAAGCTTCCCACCCCCCAACACCGCATTCCTCCCCCCCCCACCTCTTTACCATCTGCTGCTCCCCTGTCTGTCTCTTCCGGTTTTTCATACACCTCCTTCCACATGCAGGGGGCCTGGGCTGGGCAGAGTTGGATCTGTGCACATGTGCATCTGTACACGTGTGTGTGTGTGTGTGTGTGTGTGTGTGTGTGTGTGTGTGTGTGTATAATCTGTACTGAGGCTGAGTCCTTGAGGGCCCTAAGGATGTCAGAGTGGGCTTTACTAAGCTGCTGAAAGGGGAGCCAAGCTGGTGGGACCCACCTTGATTATGGGCTCCCTCTGGAACCAAGGCTCAGGCATCTTTTTGTCTTCTGTCTGTCTGTTGTCACAGGCCAATTCTCCCCCTGTGATTGTCAACACAGATACCCTAGAAGCCCCAGGATATGTGAGTTGTTTAGATTTTGGGGCTGGGGCCATTGCAAAAAGAGGGAGGAAAGGCATGAGTCCCTGCATGGAGAGCAAGGGCCAATTCTCAGTCTGGAATGTCTGTCTTACTGTTTTTATGTTTCTGTCCCATGCTGGAGTTGCAGGTGAACGGGACCGAGGGGGAGATGGAATACGAGGAGATCACATTGGAAAGGGTGAGCCAGCTTCTCCACCTGAGGTCTCCTTGGTCCCCTGCCTATACTGCTGTCTGAGCCCATGTTTTCTAAGTGGCCAGCCCCTTAGCCACGTCTCTTTGTGCTCTGATAGCAACCATCCAATCCATTCCTTCCTCACTTGCCTTGACAGGGGAGCTGATGATTTTGCCCTCCTTCTTCCCAGGGTAACTCAGGTCTGGGCTTCAGCATCGCAGGTGGCACTGACAACCCGCACATCGGTGACGACCCATCCATTTTCATCACCAAGATCATTCCTGGTGGAGCAGCAGCCCAGGATGGCCGCCTCAGGTGGGGAGAGGAGACAGGGGTTAGGAAGCTAGTACCACTGAAAGGAAGGGCCAGGGCAGCAGGAAGCTCCTGGCTCAGGCCCACTTTGCTGCTCCCAGGGTCAACGACAGCATCCTGTTTGTAAATGAAGTGGATGTGCGGGAGGTGACCCACTCAGCTGCAGTGGAGGCCCTCAAAGAGGCAGGCTCCATTGTGCGCCTCTATGTCATGCGCCGGAAACCCCCAGCTGAGAAGGTCATGGAGATCAAGCTCATCAAAGGGCCTAAAGGTAGTAACCCATTTTGTTCCCATCTCTGTCCCAGCTGTCCTACTTCCCCCCAGCCCCCACTCCTGCTTCCCAAGGCCTGTTTTTCAGGCACCTGGGCACCCCCCTTTGTCCTCCCCATCCTCCAGGTCTTGGCTTCAGCATCGCAGGGGGTGTGGGGAACCAGCACATCCCTGGAGATAACAGCATCTATGTAACAAAGATCATTGAAGGGGGTGCCGCCCACAAGGATGGGAGGTTGCAGATTGGAGACAAGATCCTGGCGGTGAGGAGCTCCATAACTTTTCTAGCCCAGACCTGGGTCTCACTTGCAGGCCTCACCCCAGTACATCTGCCTTGGGGCCCTTTCTGGCTCTGTTTGAGCTTTGCTTCCCTTGACCCAGGTCAACAGTGTGGGGCTGGAGGACGTCATGCATGAGGATGCTGTGGCAGCCCTGAAGAACACATACGATGTTGTCTACCTAAAGGTGGCCAAGCCCAGCAATGCCTACCTGAGTGACAGCTATGCTCCCCCAGACATCACAACCTGTGAGAGCCCTCTGAACCCCAGAGCTCCCCGTGACCCATCCCACTTTGACTGCAATCCCATTGTGTCATCTATGGCGTTCCTCTGTGAATTATCCACAGAGGATGACCTCAGCCTCTGATTCTTGTGGTGGTTGGAGAAGAGATGGAAAATTAGTTACCACAGGACTAGACAAGATTGTGAATGATTTCTCACATGAAGGGTACAAGGCTCACTTAGTTTTAAGGCTCATTTGATTAAATTCTCAAGGAATAGATGATTCTTACACTTGTATGAGTATAGGAAAAAACAGAAAGCTTCATATGTCGTTTTATAAGGCCAATTCAAATGGTCATAAACATAACATAAAAGAAGGAAAAGTAGTGACCAGTTTTGCTTCTGAATGGATAAGTAAGTTTACAATACTGTAGTAGGATGTTAAGAGAATAACATTGTCATAAAATAAGGTTTGTTTCAGAAACTAAAGATGGTTCAATACTAGGAAGTCTCAATATGATTTATTATATTAAACAGTTAAGTGAAGCCAGGCGCTGCTGGCTCATGCCTGTAATCCTAGCTACTCAGGAGGCAGAGATCAAGAGAATTGCGGTTCAAAGCCAGCCCCGGGCAATTAATTCCATGAGACCCTATCTGACCTATCTCGAAAATACCTAACATAAAAAAGGGCTGGTGGAGTGGCTCAAGGTGTAGGCCTTGAGTTCAAACCCCAGTACAGGGAAAAAAAAAAAACATCTGAGCAGTGTGTCCATTAATTTAGGAACTAGGCAAGGGTGCCTCTTGTTACTGCTATTATTGTTTTAAATCAGGATTTCTATATGTTTGTGCTTTTGATATTTTTGGACACAAGTACATGTTCTTGGAATTTCAAAAATTTCATGTTTCATGTGCTAGGGCTTGAACCAGGGCTTCACAAGTGCTAGACAATCACTCTTACCACTGTTCCTATATCTCCAACCCCACAGAATTTTTATCTGTAGGGATCTTTTTACCCATTATGTCTTCTTATTGCTACAAATTCTTGTTATTTATCTTACATGGTTACATTCTTAAGTTCTTACTTTATTTCTAAAGTTTTCAGTTAATTCACTTAACATTTTAATTTAGCAGACCGTAGTATAATTTCCAAATAAGGGATAATTTTGTTTCTCTCTTTTTGAATATGGGTTATATTTATTCTTCTTTTCTTGCTCTAACGTAGAGAGCAAGAAAATATCTCAACCAGGATATTTTTTCTGGAGCAATTTTGTCACAACATTTTTTTTGTTTGTAGTACTGGGATTTGAACTCAGGGCCTTATGCTTGCTAGGCAGGCACTCTACTACTTGAATCACTCTGCTGGCCCATTTTTTTTCCTGAGACTGACTTTGAACCATGATCCTCTTGATCTTTGCCTCCTGATTACCTAGGGTTATAGGTGTTAGCCACTGGCACCTGGCTGGTGTGGGTATTTTTGAAATAGGGTCTTGATTTTTGCTCCAAGTGGCCTCAACTGCAATCCTCCTAATCTGTGCCTCCTGAGTAGCTAGGTTTACAGGTGTGAGCCACCAGTGCCTAGTTCTGTCATAACATTTTTAATTATTATGATTAGAGGGGAAAGCAGAGGGGAGGAATACTGTTATCATCTGATAGAAATATAAACTTGACAAGAAATGTAAGAAGTATATGAAGAAAACAATGAAATTTTGCTGAAGGATATAAAACAATGTTTCTGAATGGAAAACTTTTTTTTGGTGGGACTGGGGTTTGAACTCAGGGCTTTGTGCAAAGCAAGGGCTCTGTCACTTGAGCCACCCTTCTAATCCATTTTGCTCTAGTTAATTCGGAGATGGAGTCTTGAAGACTATTTTTGCCCAGGCTGGTCTCTAATTGCAATCTTCCTGATCTCAGCCTCCCAAGTAGGATTACAGGCATGAGCCACTGGTGCCTAGCATGAGACTGTTCTTTATAGAAGAATTTCCATTAATAAATATTCTTCCTTTCCCCGTCCCAAGAAAAGAAGTAGAATTTTGCAGTCTTTGGTGAATATCAGAAGCAGGAAGTGATCAATGGCTGCAAAAACTTAGGTGAAAGGCTAGTAGTGGATGGAGCAGGCTAACAACTCCTGACTCTACCCATGTATCTCCTTTAACAGAAAGACAATCAGATGGCCTCTTGTAATGCAGAAGGAAGCACACAGTGCCTCCTGGGAAGTGTACTGAATTTGATAATTGTGTTTCTTTTGGGTATTGGGGATTGAGCCCCAGGGCCTTTTGAATGCTAGATGGGCACTCTAGCACTGAGCTACATTCCCCAGCCCTTCACACTGATTTTGAATCTCCCATCCAAGTACTAACCAGGCCCGACCCTGCTTAGCTTCTGAGATCAGATGAGATTGGGCGTGTTCAGGGTGGTGTGGCCATAAACCTGATTTTGAATCTGATCAAGCTTCTAGAGCAAACCCCTGATATATGGGAGACTTGAGCACAGGCACATGTTAAACAAGACCACAGGGATGTAAGTGGGTATTTTCCTGCTAGAATTTCCCTTATGGAGTGTGGGAAAATCTTCTAGATAGATGACCTAGTTTTTTCAACAAGTGAATGGCCAAGAGAAAAAAGAAAACCCAAAAAATGATGGCGAGGAGCTTTGTGGATTAAGATTTGAGAGACACATCAACCAAAATAAAATTCCCCAAGCATGGTATTAATATCCTCCTTTGACTTCACCATTCCTGGCATACTGAGGACATACAACCTTCAAGTCCTTTGTCCTCTAGGAGAACAAGCCTCTGATGTCACCTATAAATTCCTGATCCATGATGTTGCTGGATATGACGTCTCCTTTATCACTCCCACCAAGTATCTCTGGCAAAATAACTTTTTAGCCCTAGTCTGGTGCTCTTGGCTTACTCCAGAAAGGGTGGGTCAGTGGGTGCTGTCGCCCTCTGCATTTGCATCTCATCCTTCCCTGTCTTTCCTCAGCTTATTCCCAACACCTGGACAACGAGATCAGTCACAGCAGCTACCTGGGCACTGACTACCCCACAGCCATGACTCCCACTTCGCCTCGGCGCTACTCCCCAGTGGCCAAGGACCTGCTTGGGGAGGAAGATATTCCCCGAGAACCGAGGCGAATTGTGATCCACCGGGGCTCCACAGGCCTGGGCTTCAACATTGTGGGTGGCGAGGATGGTGAAGGCATCTTCATCTCCTTCATCCTGGCCGGGGGCCCCGCCGACCTCAGTGGGGAGCTGCGGAAGGGGGATCAGATCCTGTCGGTGAGGGAAGGCCTGCCTTGTCTGTACCGTTCCTGCCCCCCAAGACAGAGCCCAGTGCTCTTGGGAAGGGGCTGGGTGGCCAAAGCCTGGTCCTCTTGCTGGACTACTCCCTGCTCTACTTGAACCTGGGAAGTGCTGCCTTCCTGTTCCTGGTGACAGCCTCTCCTCTCCTCTTTAGGTCAACGGTGTTGACCTCCGCAATGCCAGCCATGAGCAGGCTGCCATTGCCCTGAAGAACGCAGGTCAGACGGTCACGATCATTGCTCAGTATAAACCAGAAGGTACCAGGCCTGACGTTCCCTGTCTTCTTGGCTTAAAATGGTCCACAGAACTCTGTCTCCTCAGCTGATGACTTCAGTGGCTGGGGAGGGGGATGTGGCAGTAGAATGGGGCAGAGTTTAAGAACCTTCTTGTTCTTCCCAGAGTATAGCAGATTCGAGGCTAAGATCCATGACCTTCGGGAACAACTCATGAACAGTAGCCTGGGCTCAGGGACTGCCTCCCTGCGGAGCAACCCCAAAAGGGGTTTCTATATCAGGTCAGAATTTTGGGGCTCTTTAGACTTCTGTGGATTCCTTTTCCCTCCGTGCTGACCCCTGTTCTTCAGCTGGATTTTTCCCTAAACCTTGCCTGGCTCCCGTTCCCCCTGTGCTTACAGGCTTGACTGCACAGGCTAACCTTTGGAATACCTTTGGCTAATTGACCTTTGGCTAATATTGGAAAATAGCCTCTGCCCCAAGTATCCCAAACGCCTTCTAGCCCCTGGTCACCCTGGCAGTTCCCCAAGGACTCCCAGACTGACTCACAATTGGATGTCTAAAAGATCAGTGTGTCTAGCATAGCATGGGCCTCTAGTATTTTTCCCTCTCCTCCCTCCTTCCTTTTTCTTTTTGTTTCATTCCATTCCTCTTCTTTTGTTCTTTTTTGAGATGAAGTCTTGCTATGTTGCCCACACTGGCCTCCAATTTCTGGGCTTAAGCAATCCTCCTTCCTCAGCCTCCTGGGTAGCTGGGACTACAGATGCCTGTCACCACACCTGGCTTTGGAATATTTTGAATATTGCCCCAGCCTAGGCATCCATATGGGCCGTCTGAGGGAGGTGGACCACAGCTGTCTTGTGCCTGTCTCTTATTTTTCTCCTGTCCCCCTGTCTTTGTCATGCTGGGGATTAAACCCAGACCCTTATGTGTGCTAGGCTAGTAGTCTACTACTAAACTACACCCAAGCCCGGCCCTGTCTCATGTCTCCCGTCTCTTCAGGAGCCGCATGTACCCCCTCCTTTGGCCTCCTCACTCTGATGACTCCTTTTTCCTTCCCTCCCCTGCTGTAGGCACTGCAGCTTTTTTCTCTCTCTCTTCTCTGTCTCTCTGGGGTTTTTTTGGCAGTACTGGTCTTCTGTCTTTTTGGATCTGTCCCCTTGCCTGGCCTTGTCTGCCACTCTGCTCTGCAAATGTCTCCTAGAGTCTAGAACTGAAGTTCTGGCCATCACCATTGGGATGTCCCATGGGCATGTCATACTCAGCACATTCTAGACTGAGCTTCCTATCTTTTACCTGGATGCTTGTGCTCCTTCTTACTGAAAGGCACCACCCAGACACCTGAGGCTTTGTTTCAGGCTTGGCCCTCCCTCCCTGCTGGGGTACAGTAGGTCTCCAAGTTTGTTCAGTTCTGACTGCCAGGTGATAACATGATCCTGGGGTCTTTTCCCTTCTTCCCAGTTCCATTGCTTTTGTCTGCCTCTTTGCTCTTTCGGAGGTTGATCCTTCTCTTTTCCTGACTGTGACTCATTGAAAGGAGTTTGATTCTGATAAGAGTAAACAAATTTTTTTCCCATTATGAATGTGAGCAGATTCAGAGTAACTCTGTGACATAGATGTATATTGTAAACTGCTTTCTGGGGTACTTGCTGTCACTCTGGAAATTGCATACATGGTGTGCCTCATTGTGGTGATTTGAGTTAGAGCAGAGTTTTTGTTTTCTGCGTTTTCGGGTTGCCGTGGGTATGCCACCATCATCCTGTGCTTACCTTCAGAACCCTTTTTACAGAATCTCCTGGCTGGTTCTCAGGGTGGCTGGTGCATCCTTCCCAGAGTCCTCAGCCAGGCTCTGATCTGTAGCTAATTGCCCTCTAGGGCCCTGTTTGATTATGACAAGACCAAGGACTGCGGCTTCCTGAGCCAAGCCCTGAGCTTCCGCTTTGGGGACGTGCTGCATGTAATCGATGCTAGCGATGAGGAGTGGTGGCAGGCACGGCGAGTCCACTCTGACAGTGAGACGGATGACATTGGCTTCATTCCCAGCAAACGGCGGTGAGGCTCCCGGGGTCTGAGCTTCCTGTCATAGGGCCCGACGATTCTAAGGTCCCTTAGAGTGGGCAGTCAGTAGGGAACTTGTGGGGGTCTGTCTGCTGGGCCCTGCTGGGGACTATGGCTCCCAGGAAACTTTGGGTCAGATAACTCATTGAGGAACACAAGAACACAAGTGACAATGCTGGGAGATGGTGGTTCTCAGTTGGTCCAGAAGGTGGGGACTGTTAGGCTCCCCCATTGGGCATTTTCCTGCCTTTCATCCCTCCATGTATCCTGCAGGGTTGAACGACGGGAGTGGTCAAGGTTAAAGGCCAAGGTAGGTGGCAGAGGGGTGAGCTTGGTGGAAAAGGTAGGGGTTTTCATGGAGTTGAATCCTTAACCCACCGCATGGTCTGCTTTTTCTTCCTAGGACTGGGGCTCCAGCTCTGGATCACAGGGTAGGTAGGGTCAGTCAGGAAACCCTGGGGTGAGATGAACACCAAAGTGCCCTTGACCTCCTTAGGAAGGCAGGCGAGACGGGGGCTGTAGGTCTCCTATCTTGGAGACCATCACAGATGTTCTATTTCCTTTCAGGTCGAGAAGACTCAGTTCTGAGCTATGAGACAGTGACGCAGATGGAAGGTAAGCCTTGGCCCCTGTCTTGGCCCCAACCTTCCTGCTCCTCCGGTTTATTCACTGCCTAAGCCTGGCTCTCTTTCCTCAGTGCACTATGCTCGCCCCATCATCATCCTTGGACCCACCAAGGACCGCGCCAATGATGATCTTCTCTCCGAGTTCCCTGACAAGTTTGGATCCTGTGTCCCCCGTGAGTGTTGGGGCCTTGGATGGAGGTGGAGGTGGATATGGGGATGGAGTGGGGTGCTCTGAGGAGCTCTACTTGTGAGGGCCATAGGCAGTACTGCCTATAGGCATTGGAATGAAGGGGGACACAGGAATCTTTATGGAAGGGGTGCTTCTCACCCACCCTTGCTTTTAACATGGCAAGCCCAGATTAGAGATGGAGGCCCCTGGGAGGCAACTCTGTCCCTTCTCAATCTTGGTCTCCCCAGTGGCCTCCTACCAAGGACCATCTGGGTACTCTGGGAATTTGGTTGATGTTGATCAGTACTAAACTAGAGGTATGGTGGTTAGATCTTTGTGGGTTGGGGTGACTTCCTGGCAGATACGACACGACCCAAGCGGGAATATGAGATAGATGGCCGGGATTACCACTTTGTGTCATCCCGGGAGAAAATGGAGAAGGACATTCAGGCACACAAGTTCATTGAGGCTGGCCAGTACAACAGCCACCTCTACGGGACCAGCGTCCAGTCTGTGCGAGAGGTGGCAGAGCAGGTAGGACCTAGAGGGCATCCATCCTCTTCCTCCTGCCCTCTCCCCACCCCATTGCCTTCCTCCAGCTCTCTCTAACTCTCTTTCTCTCTGTCTCTTTCCCTGCTGGGTATCCACTCCGCTCCGCTCCTCCACCTCCTTCTCCTCTTGGGCAACTCTGACTGCTTGTTCTTTCGTGCCCTGCTCCCTTTGCTTCCTGACCTCACACTCCCCACTACCATCTGTTCCTTTCTTTCCTCTGCTTCCTTCCTCCTTTTTCCCTATTTCTCCTCTCTTTCTGTGGCCTTGTCTTTGGTGGCTCGGTGTCCCCCAACTTGGTCTCTGCCTTCTTCCTGTCTCCCCTTTGGCCCTTTCCCCTTCCTTTTCCTGTGGCCTCCACTCCCCTCTCCCACTCCTAACTCCTTTTCCCTGCTTCTCCCTACCCTGCCTGCCCTCTTTCCTTGGCTCCATTCTCCATCTGCCTCCCCTCCCTCCCATCTGTCTCTGTTTGTTAATTCCATCTGTCTGTCCTCTGTCCGTCCTCCCCTCCCTCCTCCCCTCCTCCCTCTATCCTACTTCTTTTCTCCTTTTCCTTGGCTTTCTTTCCCTACCTTGCTTGGCCTGTCTTCTACACCTCCACCCCACTGTCTGCTACTCCTCTTGCCTCTGCTCTGCCTCCATATTTTGGGTCCCCTCCCTGCCTGTTTCTCATCACATCCTCCATTCTGTCCTTCCCTACCCTCCTGGGTTTGGCTTTCCATCTGCCATTTCCTTTTTCTTTCTGTCTGCCACTCTGTCATACTTCTTCCTATTCTCTTGCCCACCTGTCTTTTGACATCTATGTCTCTTCCCCTTTGGCCAACTTCCCACCCCACCTTTCCGTGTCCTGTGCCTTTCCTGGCACCTCTGTCTGTCCTTTCCTGCTACCTGCTGGTCCCCCTCCGCCTACCCTGCCTGCCCCCAGGGGAAGCACTGCATCCTCGATGTCTCCGCCAATGCTGTGCGGCGGCTGCAGGCGGCCCACCTGCACCCTATCGCCATCTTCATCCGCCCCCGCTCCCTGGAGAATGTGCTGTGAGTATGGTCCCAGGGGCCTCCCCTTTGCTCCCTACATCTGTATGGTCCTGGGCCTCTCAAGGCCTCTGCATTGAACTCTTCCCTCAGAACCTTGGACAGCAACTCCAGCAGCCTCAAAGGGGGATGTGCATGGAGAGCTGGAGCTAGAGGGTACAGGGAGTCCCAGGCCTTTCCCCTCTTCTCCTGCCTTGGGCTAGGCATGACTATAGTTCCCAGCAGCCCCTGGGGGCACACATCAGCTGGGTTAAGTCAGAGCCTCAGGCAGTTGGGAGTTTTCTGGATCCTTTCGGTGGGGCTGAAGGCTGGAAGGATGAGCTCCTGAGAGGTCCTGGGAGCACCTGCACCTGGCTGGGGTGGGTTACACCAGTGAGGGCTCATCTGTGGTTCCCAAGGACATCAGAAATTGTGTTTTTACTACATAATCTAAATAAGAAAATACAGGTTGCAACTTACTCCCGGATGAAGGAGGTAAAAGGCAGGTGGGACCCACCCACCCTCAGGTCTGTGTCTCTCTTCCCTTCACAGAGAGATTAACAAGCGGATCACAGAGGAGCAAGCCCGCAAAGCCTTTGACAGAGCCACCAAACTGGAGCAGGAGTTCACAGAGTGTTTCTCAGGTGAGGCTGGAGCCACACATAGAGCACCTTTGCTCAGATTTGACAAAGCCCCACTGAGGGGATGGTATAGGAGGAGTGCCCCTGTGGGTAGGTACAGTCCCATGGCACGTGGCTTGGAGAATTAGAAAAAAGTGTCCCTTCCTGTGGTCCCTCCCTTGGTAAAGCATCCTTGGGCCCTTGACCTCACTCCCTTGCTCCATCCACTCCCAGCCATCGTGGAGGGTGACAGCTTTGAGGAGATCTACCACAAGGTGAAACGCGTCATTGAGGACCTCTCAGGCCCCTACATCTGGGTTCCAGCCCGAGAGAGACTCTGATTCCTGCCCTGGCTTGGCCTGGACTTGCCCTGCCACCATCGCCCGGGCCCTTGGTCTGGACTGAATTGCCCAAGCCCTTCGCATCCCCAGCCTCCCTCCTGCCCGTTCTTATTTATTTCCTTTCTAACTGGATCCAGTCCATTGGAGGGGGGACACTCCTCTGCATGTATCCCTGCACCCCAGAACTAGGCTCCTGAACCCCAGGAACCTGGGGTCGGGGGGCAGGAGCGGGGCTCCTGGTTTTGAGCCCTTGCTCCTTAGGACCCCCACCCTTGCCCGCCCCCAATGCACACACAGACCCACTGGGGGCTGTTGCCCTCCCCCGTCTTTTCCCACACACATTCCAGAAGTTGGGGGCCCTCTGAAGGAGCACCCTGTGCTCCCCTGAAGCAAGGTCTGGCCCTGCCCCCATCATAACTCCCCATGTCCCTTGAGTTCTCATTTTTTTTTCTCCATTTTTTTTTTTTCTTCTCAAAGGTGGTTTTTGGGGGGAGAAGTAGGGGGACTCCATTGTGGGTCCTCTGCCTTCCACATACCCCCCACCTTTTTTCTTTGCTGGTTTGCATGAGTGGAAGGTCTAATTGTGGCTTTTTTTTTTTTTTTCCTGGGATTTTTTTTTTTTTTTTTTTTTTTTTGGGGAAAGGGGAGGGATGGGTCTAGGGAGTGGGGAATACGGGAGGGGGGTGGGGGGGCCGGGGTCAGGGGTTGGGTGTCTGGGAGCCAGGGGAAGACTGGAAATGCTGCCGCCTTCTGCAATTTATTTATTTATTTATTTATTTTTTCTTTTGAGAGAGTGAAAGGAAGAGACAGATACTTGAAACAGTGTGTGGCTTGGTTATTTGGGACCTGGGTGTGGAGGGAGATATGGTGGGGGTCCAGGGATAGGGTAGGGGGTCTGGTAAATTCAGATCCTTCTTCACCCCAACCCATAGACAATAAGGTTTAGGCCTGAAAAGGGTCCTTGCCAATCAAGGAAGCAGGAGCTCTGGCCAACTGTTTGGAGCTCTGTACAAAGTCACTGACAGACTTGTATTGGTTCTGCAAACTTAATCCAGCCCTGGTCATTCCCCTGGGCTGCTTCAGTCCTGTTGGAAGCATATTAGTCCCTAAAGAAAAACTGGAAGCCTTTCAACTTACAGTGAGCTCCTGTTCCAATAAACTCATTTAAGTTAAAAATGTCTTAAGTAAAAGCCACATTTAATACATTTCACCTGCCAAACATCATGGCCTAGCCTGGTCTACCTTAAAGGTGCTCAGAACATTTACATCAGCCCACAGCCAACACAAAGCCTGTTGTATAATAAAGTACTAAATATCCAGTGGGGCGACTGTGAGCTGCAGCTTGCTGCTGCCGCCCAGCATCCAGAGAGAATGGCACAGTGTATTATGAGCTTGCAAAAGATCAAACCTACGGTTTCTGTTGAAGGCGTTGCTTTCACACCATTGTAAAGCTGAAAAATTGCAGGTGAAACCCTTAGAAGTTGGACTGTGTATAGAGGAAATGTTCTTTATGTTCCTGGAGTTGTGGACAGAGCTGGGCTTTGGAGATAATCTTTCCAGAGGTTTTCTGATAAGGAATGTTGTATGAATATTTATTCACTGGGTTTCTTTATGTCCCATTTTGGCAGGAAAGATTTGGAGCAGCTTTGCAAATAATGAGGGTAGGAAAATAGAAATTTGGTAACAAAGTTAAAAATATGATAAATGTACTAGTTACGAGAATAAATATAATCTCTGGGCTTCCTGATGGCTAGGGCAAAAAAGGGAAGTGGTGTATTACTTAGCTCTTTATTATAAAGGAGAATCTTAGTTCTTTTGCAGAATCACATTTTTCTGGCCCTAAATTGCACCTGAAGTATCTCAGATTGCTGCTGTATAGAAAAGTGGTTCTCAACCTTCCTTCCACTATTCATGTGGTTGACAAACTCCCACTATGAAGACCTCAGCTGTGACACAGATAAGCCAGTTTTTAGCACGAGCTGCAATACCACCCTTGTCTTTCTGACTCTCAAGAGCCCCAGTGGGGAAGGCCAAGGTGCAGGCTATAAGAATTGAAAGTTAAATCCTGAACAGTTTCAAAAGCACACTTTTTGTAGCCACCCCTTAGCAAAATTGAGAGATGGCTGCAAAAGACCAGCACAAGTGGCAGCGACTCTGGGGAGGGCATGGATGCACCAGGCTGAACAGATGCAAAGATCAAGGCAGAGATCCCTAAAGGGGTGTCACTTTGGATGGCTGGGCAGAATTTTCTGTGTAGCATCCTGTCCCACAGGACCCAATCCCCTGAGTCTGGGAGTTAGGGATCCTGGGGTCTGCATTTCAGGAAACTTCCCAGGTAATTCTGAGGTCCCGCTGGGGTGAGAATCATGCTTCCAAGGACATTTTCCATATAATCATCTTGGCTTGTTCTCTGTTCGAGCAGGTGATGAGAGACTGAGCAGGGGTTCTCTACTGAGGGCCAAGGGGGAGAAATCTGGGAGCTGAGGAAGGTGTATACGAGGTAATGGGTCTGATCTAAGGTTAAGTATAGTTTACCTGGAAGGAGTAGAATCACCTAACTTTACATGCATTACTTTTAAATTATAAAAGTAATTTGTATACCTGAAAAATATTCTGGTCTAGAGATATGCATCGTTACACAAAAGTTCCCTCTCCATTTCATGGCACATCTGCCTCATGGTAACATTGTAGGATGGATTTGCCAAAGTCTATGGAGAACTCCTCTGGGTCCTTGAGGTGGCAGCTACTTTAGTGGACAAAAGCCCTAGTCTCCCAAACTGACTTGGATTCAAATTCTGGCTCCTTTTCTCACCCCACCTATGACTTTCAACAAATCCTTGTTTGGATCTTCTAAGTACTGGGAAGGCAACATCTCTGTCCTCAGAGAACTTTGGGTCCATTCAGTGGGGGTGACAGGTAATAGGAAGTAAACGAATGCAGATAATTAGAAGTGAGTACTATTAAGCAAAAAAAGTGACCACTGGACATATCCATGCTGGTTTATACAGGATAGCTAGGGAGGCCTTTTTTAAAATTAGCGTATATTGTACAAAAGGATTTCATATATGTACTTTGATCAGATCCACTCCCCTATTACTTTTGATTTCCTCTCATCATGCAGCTTTTTTTTTAAAAGTTTTTAGTGGGTTTCATTATGCTGTTTTCATACACACACACACACACACACATATATAATGTACTTTGATCACACTCACCCCATCACCCTCCCTCCATTGTTTTTCCCAAACAGTCTCCCTTTTTCAATATAATATTCCTATAATTTTAGATATGAGAGAAAACATGCAATATTTGTTAGGAGCAACATTTGGGCTGAGACCTGCATGATAGCAAAGACCTGGGTAGGGGCAGAGTGCTAAGGAGAGGAAGAGCAACTTGGGTTAAGTTTGGAAGGTTGGAGGACAGAAGGAGGGCACAGGGTGCAGCAGGGTGGAGAGAAACAGATGGGGCAGAGAAGTAAGCAAGGCCTGGTGCATAAAGCCTTTAAGTGGATTTTATTCTAAGTGCCATGAAAAGCTGTCAGAAGCTGTGAGAGGGGAGTGACAGTGTTTCTGTTTTAGCAAAGGGCTTTGGGTGCTGGTGGAGAATATACAGTAGGGGGCAATACAGAGCCCAGCAGGTAGTTGCTGAAGTTATGAGAGATTATGGTGGCATCACTGTCACTTTGGGCAAGTAGCTTAACCTCTCAGCCTGTTTCCCTGGCTGTAAAGTGGTGGCTTACCTTGCTGGATTCTTGAGTAATAAAGGGGACAGTAATTGCAAAGCCCTTAGCCCAGTGTCTGGCACACTGTAGGAAATAGCAATGATGATTGTTGTTGACCTCTTAGTCTTTTTCCCGATATTGGATAAAACTGAAAGTGAAACCCAGGAACATCTCTAGTTTTAAACTTTAAATTGTTACCCTCTAAAAGTAGGAAAGAAGAATAGAGAGGGCTTTGGGTCACAGAATCCCAGTTGTGCCAAGGCTGGAAAGTTTGGAGGTGCTTGGGGTGGAGAGTGGGAGGTGAGAGCCAGGATGGAGAAAGCCCCTGCTAGAGACAGGGAGCTCAGGCACCTTGGCTCCACAGGCAGGGCCCCTGTCAACTGCAGAGAGGGGATACTGAAGCCCTTGGAAGGTGGGGGGGGCATGTCAGTTCAGATTGTGTACTCATATGCAGAGTGCCACCTTCTTCTTTGGGCCCTGGCAGCCTGTCTTCCCTCACTTATACCCCCTAGTGCTGAGCCCTCCAACTTGAGTGCATCTCTTATAACCTCTCCTGCTTCATCTGAGCCCTAGCCCTACCTGGCCTTTTCTTGCTATGGGGACCTGTAGGCCACCCTCTTCAGAAAGTCAATGCTGAGCTGCTTTTTCTTTTTTTTAGTGGGACTAGTGTTTGAACTCAGGACTTCACGAATGCAAAGCAGGCACTCTATCACTTGAGCTATACCTCTTAGTCCTGCCTTGCTTGAGATCTGCTGATGCCAGTCTCTGCAGGCCAGGGGTGCTGAGAAGCAGGTGATGTAGCTCCCACTTTCTGGGAATGAGGCAAGATCAAGATGGGCCCACCCCACTCGAATTTGAAAGTGCTCTGAGGGGCAGCTCAGAATCCATGTCTCTTCCTCTGTGCAAGGAAAGGGGGCTGTCTGAACTCAGCCACCCTCCCAGGTCCTCAGCTTTGTCCCAGAGAAATAGCTAACCACCTTCTGAGGAGTGCAAAGAAATACCCTCTCCCATCTGGATCCCAACCCCTTTTCCACTCACTTGAAGAGGTCCAACTCAACTCTGTGCTATTGTTGGGGAATAATAAAAATAAAACACCCAGCATGTGCCAAGCACTTAGTATGTGCAGGCACCATGCTAAGTGTGTTTTACTCCCTGTCTCATTTAACCTTGACAATCACTGCGATAAGCATTAAATTCACTTTCCAGATGAGTACAAGGTGATCCCAGATCTGTCTATTAGCAAGCGTCAGGCTTGTTCCCTCCAGCCTCTTCCCGGGTACTCTCTAGTCTTCAGCATCCTCATGCCCACTCTTAGTATCTATGTGCTCCCTTTCTGCCAGCATCCCTGAACCTGAAAAATATTTCCCAGACTTCCTGTTCCTGGCAGACTTTTTTTTTTTTTTGTGGTACTGGGGCTTGAACTCAGGGTCTTCACCTTGAGCCACTCCACCAGCCCTATTTTTGTGAAGGGTTTTTTCATGATAGGGTCTCAGGAAACTATTTGTTCACGCTGACTTCGAACTGCAATCCTAATCTCTGTCTCCTGAGTAGCTAGGATTACAGGCATGAGCCACTGGTTCCCTGCTCTGGCAGACTTTCATTTGGCCCTTGGGGTCCCCAGGAAGCCCAGAAGGTCATCACCACTTCCCATCTGTGTCTCCATCTATGTTAGTTTTTTGCTGCCGGGACAAAATACATAAGAAAACAAAAGAGGAAAGACTTATTTTGGCTCATGGTTTCAGATATTTCAGTCTGTGGTTGACCGGCTCCATTGCTATGGGTCTGTGCTAAGGCAGAGTATCATGGTGGTGAAGATGTCTCACCTCATGGCAGAGAGAGAGAAGGAGGGACCAAGGACAAGATACATCCTTCAAAGGCATGTCTCCAGTGACCTACTTCCTCCATCCACGACCTACTTTGTAATAGTCCATTCAGCTATGAGTTCATCAATGGATTAATCCACTGACAAAGTTAGAGCCCTTATGGTGATCCAATCACATCTCGCCAACTGAACCCTTAACGTAGGAGCCTTCGAGGGATATTTTTAGATTCAAACCGTAACATCATCTCAAGCTGCTTTCTTTCTGTCCTGCCCTCTTACTGAGTGGAGCTCATCACAGGGTACTTTGCCACACCAGGCTATGCCCAAGATTTGCCTTCTGTTCAGACCCATCTACAATAGCCTCTGGACCCTGGTTAGGTGCACTTCTGTCCCCCTTCCCCTTTCTGTCCCCTAATTCAGTGCACATTCAGCAGCTCCAGACCTACTCCATTCTTCTGCTAATGTTCAGTCCATGTGGCTCTCCCTGTTTGGACTCAAGCCTTACAATTTCTCACTGGGACTAACAACTTCTCAATTTCCCTGCCTATGGGCCATCCACCCTTGACTCATCTTCCACACTAAGGCCAGACCATTGTTCACCTTAGAGATCTGAGATCTGACCTTATTACTGTCCTATCTGCAATTCTTTTTTCTTTTCTTTTTTGGTGGTTGTAGGAATTAAATTCAGGGCCTTGCATATGTTATGCAAGTGCTCTACCACTGAGCTCCTTCCCCAGCCCTTCCTGCAACTCTTTATAGGCTTCATACTTTATAGTCCCAGTCTTTAAATGTCGGTTTTGTGTTACTCTAAGTAAAATATTTTTGAGCATTTATTTTCTCAATATGTATTCAGTGATTCTTTAAGATGACCATGCTTCTCACCTCCTGGGACTTGCATCCTTGAAGGGTCTCTTTCCACACTGAATAGGGACGACCTGACAGGGTAGTGTGGAATTACTGAACTGTTCCTTCTGAGGCTAGGCCATAAAAGGAATTGTGTCCTGGGATCACCTGCTCTGGAAGAAGCCAGTGACCATGTCATGAGGACACTTAAGTAGCCCTGTGAGAGGCCCATGTGGAGTGGAACTGAGGCCTCCTGCCAACAGCTAGCACTAACCAGTCCACGTGTGAGTGAGTCACCTTGGCAGTTGATCTTCCATCCCAGTCTTCAAATGAATGTATCCCAGACTGACATCTTGGCTGCACCCTTGTGAGAGAACCTGAACCAGAATCAATGGGCTAAGCTGTACACTGATCCTTGGAAATTAAGTGTTCGTTGTTTAGGTTGCCAAGTTTTGGGGTAATTATTTGTACCAATAGATAACTAACACATATTCACAAGTATACAAATCTATTACATATACACTATAAAACATATCTCTCTAAAATAGAGATCTAATGAAAAGGGATTAAAAATATACATATACACATGTTCTGCACTAGTCGAAGCACTGCTTCCTAATCAATGAGTTTGGGACACAGAGTTATAGGATAGAAACCAGATTTCAAAATGTCTTCTTTCAAGACAACATGCAAATAGAAAGATGCACAGATCATAAGTATATGGCTTTTTCAGTTTTACAAGCTGAACACCATTATGTAAACAGCATTCAGAGCAAGAAGACAGAGGTTTCCTCTGCTCCCTTCCATAACTTTCTCTGGTTAACCACTATTCTCACCAAATCAATGTAGGTTCATTTGTCTGAATAAACCAAATCATAAGTGATAATATTAGAGTGTTAAATTGACAGCTCAGTTGTCACCAAAAGCATTGGCTGCCCGTCCAGAGCATGTAAACAACACGAGGGTTTTCAGGACACCAATAAATGAGGGCGCACACAAAGCTGTCACAATTTATGCAAGTGATGTGTTCCTGAATATCCCACATAATTTAAAACTCTCACAATTTAAGTCTAGTTTTCTCCTTGAAATAGCTGTAAAGTGGGATTTGCAAGCCTTCACATTTGAAGTCTAAAGTGATCATCTTTAATATTGTCCAGCTTCCAAGTTAGCATAACTTAAATTCGGACAGCCCTCTTTGGAGCCCCCAGATTGTGAGGTGCCACATTTTAGTATCTCTGGGGACGCAGAGCCCTGCTGTGTGGACTGAATGAGAACATGGCCTGGAGTCAGGCTGCCCATGTTTCAGTCTTCCCTCTGCTGCTTTCTTGCAGTGTTATCCTGGCAAGCGCTTACTCTCTCTTCTGCAGAATAGGTTGTACAGAATGGGACAATGAACTGGACAATCAAAAGGCCTTAGGTTATACAGCCGAATCAATGGTGGTTTGCTGGCCCTACTCCCAGTGGAGGTTCCCTGCTGCCCCTCTTCTCCCTCCATCCCCATGGCCTATCTGTTTGTAGGACTACAGGAGAGTGAGGGGGTCAGGCTGTGACTGGGGAGACTGGGGCAGAGCTGCAGGCTGTGACTGGGATGCCAGGGTCACAGGCCCAGATTGGGCAAGAGCAGGTAACTGGTCGGTCCTTCTGATCCTAGTCAGGAATATTTGGAGACACCAATAATTCTGAGAAATTCAGAGGCAGGAAGTGAAAGGGGAGGGACAGAGGGGAAACATCAACTGTGTCTTCCACCCCTTCAAGCCTGATCCCCCCTCTGACATTACACAATGAGGAATGAGGTGACTGTGTATGTGTGTGTGTGTATATGTGTGAGCCCATCCCCCTCACTCCCACCCCCACACATCCATTGCCACGTATGTTTACCGTCCAAAGTCCCCGGCACTGGAGATGCCAGGTTTGGCATGCTCAGACACCCATAGGGCCCTCATACGGACCCTGTCCCCTCCCCTCCCATTGTCCAGGGCTGTCCACCCACCCCGCTTCTCCTGGTTTCAGCTTCCGCCTTAGCCTGGGACCTGCATAGCATTGAGGGACCTGGAAGTCAGATCTCCAGAACTTCAGCAAGTAAAATGGGGGGAAAGGCTGAGGATGTGGGGGCAACTGAGGGAGGGGGTAGAGGGGCCTCGTGTGTGTGGGTTCAAGTGGGAAAATGGTAAAGGCTGGATTTTGGATGTGAGACTTGGAAAAGGGTGGAGGAAAGAAGAAAGGTCTCCATGGGGTCACCCCCATGGGGGATAACCTAGTTGGATGTAAAAAGGGGTAGGACCTCACCTTCCAGCCACAGCCTTGTCTGTCCCAGGCCCAGTGCCAGTGCTATCATGACGAAGGAGTATCAAGATCTCCAGCATCTGGATAATGAGGAGAATGACCACCATCAGCGCTGGAAAGGTGAGGGAGGCTGCCCCATCTGAAAGGCGAGCAGTTGGTGGCTGTCACCTCTCAGCTCCTGCTTTTTTCTGTGACCCTTGGCTATCTCTGTCTCTGTCTGTGCCCCACTCTCCCAGAAAATGGCAGCTCAGTGGTCCCTGCTAGCAGAGGTTCAGGGCATGGGGTTAGAGTCCCTTCTTTGGTGACAGGTGCCCAACCTTCCTAATCGGGTCACATATCTCCAAGGACCCCATGGACGGGGTGGACCTAAGGTGTGGGAGCAACTGAATGTTGGAGAGATGAGTTTATTGTCTGTTTCTTCTGAAGTTATGCCCCTTTTAGGCCCCTTTTCTGCCTTGGCCATGGGTTGTGTGTGTGTGTGTGTGTGTGTGTGTGTGTGTAAGGGGATAGGCTGGGGATGCTTGTGAGGAGGCTGAGGATCTCTGCTGTGAGGGAGAATAAGGCCCCACTGCATTCAAAACAAACCCCTCTGCCACTTCTTCGTCCTCCTAGCCAAGATGAAGGGGCGTAGGGGAAGGGAGGAGAGGGGAGGGTAGGTCTTCATACTCCAGCTCATGTTGACAGGGCTACGTCTTTCTCTTCTCTCTGGATGGGAAAGACCCCTCCTGCTCTCCCGGCAAGCAACCAAAGATGGGCAGAATTCATGGAGAGAGAAATCAACCTCTTTTCTACTTTCATGTATGGAGCAGCGACTCCCCAGGGGGCAACTCTGATGAGGTTCATAAGCGGCAATGACAGAGTTGTGCCACTAGGTGCCAGCAAAGACTCAGGGCTTCAGTAGTGTAAGGGAAGGTCAAAGCTTTGCACCCCTGCCATATCTTTTCCTACCCACATCAGATTGTCTCTGGCCCTACAGGGTTGCTCGTTGTTGTTGTCCAGATTTCTTAACCTATATGGTCCCTCCTAGTCTACTAGAGATGCTTAGCCTGCTTCCTTCCTAGGACCCTGGAGCTGCACCCGGCTCGCTGGTATCCCATAGCTCCTGACACCTTCTCTTGCAGGGCCACCACCTCCCAAGCCCTTCTTACAGCGTCTCTGCTCCGGACCCTGCCTCCTCCTGTTGTCACTGGGCCTCAGCCTCCTGCTGCTGGTTATTGTCTGTGTGATTGGATCTCAAAGTGGGTGCCTGACGGGTGGGCGGAGAAGGGAGCAACTTTTGGGGTAATGTTAGTGGAGGACAGTAGTGAGGGAAGTGATGGGTATGTATGGTGGCAGTGGACACACACTTCATTTTGGCGTACTCCCTCCTGCGCAGACTCCCAGCTGCGGGGGGAGCTGCAGGGCCTGAGAGACACCTTCAGCAACTTCACAGTGAGCACTGAGGCGGAAGTCAAGGCCCTGAGCACCCAGGGTAAGGGGTCTGGAGCTGAGTCCTGAGGGCTGAGGGGTGGTGGGGATGTCGTGACAGTGAGCAAGTCTCTCCCTCAGGAGGCAGTGTAGGAAGAAAGATGAAGTTGCTGGAGTCCCAGCTGGAGAAACAGCAGCAGGACCTGAGTGAAGGTGTGTGTGTGTGTGTGTGTGTGCGTGTGTGTGTGTGTGAGGTGTGGGGGACATGGTGGCTGGTTTTCCCAGTGAGATGCCAGGCCCCTCCCCTCATGTTCATATTCACCTCATTTCTCCTCATTTCCCCACTTTCTTCCTTCTGTCCTCTGCCTCCCCAGATCACTCCAGCTTGCTGCTCCACGTGAAGCAGTTTGTGTCTGACCTGAGAAGCTTGAGCTGTCAGATGGCTGTCCTTCAGGGCAATGGTGAGGGCCAGGGCATCCAGCTCTACTTTCCTGCCCCTTCCCCTAGGCAGCACCTCGGCCCTTCACCCTCCATCTCCCATTCAGGCTCTGAAAGGACCTGCTGCCCTATTAACTGGGTGGAGCTCGAAGGCAGTTGCTACTGGTTTTCCCATTCTGCGAAACCCTGGCCTGAGGCTGATAAGTACTGTCAGCTGGAGAATGCCCACCTGGTGGTGGTAACCTCCTGGGAGGAGCAGGTGAGGCCCTGGTAGGCTCTTCTGGGAGACTGGCTGGTGTAAAGGAGAGGTCACTAGCCCCATCTTCTCTCCCCAGAGATTTGTTCAGCACCACATGGGCCCTATAAACACTTGGATGGGCCTAACTGATCAAAATGGGCCCTGGAGATGGGTGGACGGGACTGACTATGAAAAAGGATTCAAGTGAGTGTGTGCGTCTACCTGCAGCTGGCTCCCTCCACTTGGGAACACCCTGCCTTCCTATCCTGTGGCCCTAGGCTGGGCAGGGCACCTGAGACCTGGCTGAGAGTCTGAACTTCTGGTGCACGTGGCTATCTCCTGTCTGCAGGAACTGGAGACCAGAGCAGCCAGATAACTGGTTCGGACATGGGCTCGGAGGAGGCGAGGACTGTGCTCACTTTACCCCCGATGGTCGCTGGAATGATGATGTCTGCCAGAGGCCCTACCGCTGGGTCTGCGAGACAGAGTTGGGCAAGGCCAGCTAGGAGTCTCCCTCCCTCTAATTTATTTTCTTAATGCCTTGAGCTGCCAAGGTCTGGAATTGGGAATCCTCCTACCTTGGGGGTCTCCACATTCTTGGGAATTTTCATGTAGGCTTTTTTTTTTTTTTGGCATACTGGGGTTTGAACTCAGGGCCTCATGCTTGCTAGGCAGGTGCTCTACCACTTGAGCCAACAACATGTAGGATTTTAAGAGATGGGGAAAAGGACAGTGTCTGAGGATGTAGGGTGATGTTTGGGGGAGATTGAAGCCCATGACACTATGTGCAGTTTTAACCTCTTTTTTTTTTTTTTTTTTTTTAAGAGTAAAAAGAAGAGAAGTATACTTAAATATTCTGAGTTGTCTGGTCATTGAGAATTAGGAACCAGGAGTGGGCTCATTGGTGTTGGGAAGCTTTGGGCCAGCAAGGTCGTCATGAGAACTGAGTGGGCTTTGGGCCAGATGGCCTGACTAGCAGCCCGCTGTGTTATTTACAGGCATGTGGACTGGGGCACCTTACTCTCCTCTCTGAGTCTCAGCTGTAAGATAAAATGTTACTGGCGACCACCTACTGGCAGCCACTCCCCTGGAATTGAACCATCCCAGGAACTTTGTGTGAGTGACACTCACTGCCATGCATCACAATAGTCAGAATCTGCATTCATAGAAAGGTGACAAACACCATGAAAAGCAACCCAGAGTCATCAAACACACAAGGACAACCAGGACCATGGAAGAATCCACAACCAAGGATGGGAACAAGGGCAAGCTAATTAGGATTTACAGATGCTTATGGCCTTGTTAACAAAAGTGGAGAAAATGTTAGCCCATAAATAAGACCTCAACTAATTCCAGAATGGAGCAATGCTCTGACCAGGGTAAAGCAGTTAGAAATGAACACAAAAGTACAACCTAAAAAAGCTTCATTTACATATAATTTTCTCACCATCTTTCTAATAATTTTAGTTATAAGAGAAAATGGAAATGAACCGGTCAAGTCTTCTAGAACTATGTACAGTGAGCACTGCATGCAGAAGCCCTTGGGATGGTCTAAAGCAGTCCTCAGGAGGAAGTGCATGGAGCCATGGCACGTTTATTAAAAGAACTGAATTAGAAAAAGCTATGTTTTAACTGAAGAAACTTGAAAAAGAATAACAAAAGAAATCCCCCCCAAAATAGAACAAAGGACTTTATAAAAATATAAAGCAAAGCTAGAAAATAAAAATGTAGATACAATCAATAAAAGAAAATTGTAGCTGAGGATGTGACTCAAGTGGTAGAGCACCTGCCTACCAAATGTGAGGCCCTGCTCAAACCCCAGTACCACCGAGAAGAAAATCTGATTCTTGGAAAGGTAAATAAAATAAATATGAAGGAGATAAAAAGGATTATGGACACAATTTTAGGTTATCACGCTGGTAATCAAACCCACAGCCTCATGGATGACAGGCAAATGCTTTACCACTGAGCTGCACCCCAGCCCAACACAGCTTTAGAAAGGCAAAGGTTTTCAAATGCATAGATTTAAAACAGAAAAGTAAAAACAATGTTTTTAACCACCATTTTATAATTCTTGGGTAAATCCCTTAGTGGTAGAGGTGGTAGAGGTTGTAATTTTGGGGAAGGAAGAAAAAATTTAAAGGAATATAGGAAAGGAGAAGAAAAACCCAGAACAGATACATAAGAAAAAGCATAAAAAGTTAGGAAAGCACCTGCTTTCCAAGCATGAAACCCTGAGTTCAAACTCTAGTCCTACCAAAACCAAACCAAACCAAAATAATAACAAAAATAATTAGAACTAGTAACAGGTTTTAGCAGGTGTACTAGTTAGCAACATAATGATGTATAAAGAATATATAAGAAAAAGAGAAAATTCCAAAATAGTGTATACATTTAATGCAATAGAAATGAAATTTTTAGCTGGATTTTTAAAAGCAACTTCATACCCACTAAAAGCATGGGTACTGGTGACTCACACTTGTAATCCTAGCTACTTGGGGAGGCTGAGGTCAGGAGGATGGAGGTTCCAGACCAGACAGGGAAAATAATTCCTAAGACCCCCATCTCCAAAACAAGCAGAGCAAATGGACTGGAGGCGTGGCTCAAGTGGAAGAGCACCTACTTTGCAAACAGCTCTGAGTTCAAAACTCAGTCCCAACAACAACAAATACACACACACACACACACAACATATGGCAAGATAAAAGTCAATTTGAGAAAAAAAGCAAAAATTGGGGGAAGGGAAAAGTGGCCTTATTAGACACTAAAATGTATAAAAAAATCCATAATAAAAAACAGTACTGTTAATGATACAAGAACAGATGAAGAAAACAGTGTTATGGAATAAAGATCAAAGACAGACCTGTGAGTAAATGGGAACTTACTATATAATAAAGAGGGCATCTCAATTAGTGGAAGAAAGACATTATTGGGAAAATTGGCTCTATAAGAAGAAAAAATATAATTGGATTCATCTCTATCACTGCAGACAAAGGTGAATCCTGGAAAGACTGAAGACATAAACAGAAAAGGTAAAGCTACAGAACTACTAGAAAAGAAAATACAGGAAGGCATAAGTCTATATCCTAGGAATATGGAAGGACTTCTTCAATAAGACCTCCAAAACACAGACCAGAAAGCCAGAATAATTTAGTGAAGTTGCATGAAGTTTAGAAATTTCAGTTTAGTGCCAATGTATCAGTTAGATTTCCATCAAACAATAAATACATTATGTACTCAAAAATGGCTAATTGGAGGATGCTTTAAGAAAGGTGTGTGATGCTAAGATTCCACCTCACCCCTGTTAGAATAGCCATCATCAGCAACACCACCAACAACAGGTGTTGGCGAGGATTCGGGGAAAAAGGAACCCTCTTACACTGTTGGTGGGAATGTAGACTAGTACAACCACTCTGGAAAAATATTTGGAGGCTACTTAAAAAGCTAGACATCGATCTACCATTTGATCCAGTAATACCACTCTTGGGGATATACCCAAAAGACTGTGACACAGGTTACTCCAGAGGCACCTGTACACCCATGTTTATTGCGGCACTATTCACAATAGCCAAGTTATGGAAACAGCCAAGATGCCCCACCACTGATGAATGGATTAAGAAAATGTGGTATCTATACACAATGGAATTTTATGCAGCCATGAAGAAGAACGAAATGTTATCATTCGCTGGTAAATGGCTGGAATTGGAGAACATCATTCTGAGTGAGGTTAGCCTGGCCCAAAAGACCAAAATCATATGTTCTCCCTCATATGTGGACATTAGATCAAGGGCAAACACAAAAAGGGGATTGGACTGTGAGCACATGATAAAAGTGAGAGCACACAAGGGAGGGGTGAAGGATAGGTAAGACACCTAAAAAATTAGCTAGCATTTGTTGCCCTCAACGCAGAGAAACTAAAGCAGATACCTTAAAAGCAACTGAGGCCAATAGGAAAAGGGGAACAGGTACTAGAGAAAAGGTTAGATCAAAAAGAATTAACCTAGAAGGTAACACCCACACACAGGAAATCAATGTGAGTCAACTCCCTGTATAGCTATCCTTATCTCAACCACCAAAAACCCTTGTCCCTTCCTATTATTGCTTATACTCTCTCTACAAAAGAGAGAGTATACCCAAGCCTTGTATGCACATATGAATAATAAAAGAAAAAAAAAAAAGAAAGGTGTGTGAGCAAGGTTAGGGACGCCACAAAAAATGGGGTAGGAAGTCAGGTGTCCCAGAATGGGACCTAGGAGGAGAGGGTCTCTCAACAGGAGCAGTGACTTTTGGTTGCAGGAGGCAGCTAGTCCACAGTAGTCCTGCAGGGAAGGAGCTGAAAGAGTCAACATTCTCACCCTCTTCTTTCTCTCTTAGATTTCTTCTAGAGCTGGAAGACAGACGGCTTGGGAGCAATTTGATGCAGTCGTACTGCTCAGCCTTCCAGGCCACAGAACAAAAAGGGTAGAAAGTAGGTCTGGAGGGACAAATGGAAGACACTCAGTGTGGAAAGAATGTAGAAACAGAAATAGACAAGACCCATTGCAGAAGTAGTGAAGGGCAGAAACAGGCAGTTCATAGATCAGGGAACCCACAGGTCTTTGTGCATGTGAGGACATGTTTATATGAGAGCAAGTATAGAAATGCAATTTAGAACATTGTGAGCCCCCTCCATCCAATTAACAAAACGTCAAGTGCTGGAAAGGATGTAGAGGAAATTAGAACATTAAGCATTGTTCACGGGAACATAAATTGGAATAGCCATTGTGCAAGGTATTTAGTGGGATTAAGAATGCCTACATGGAGCTGGGCACCAGTGGCTGACTATACTCGGGAGGCAGAGATCAGGAGGGTAACAGTTCAAAGCCAGCCTGGGCAAATAGTTTCAGAGACCCTAATCTCAAAGATACCCAACATAGAAAAGGGCTGTGGAGAGGCTCAAGTGGTAGAGCGCCTGCCTAGCAAGAGTTCAAATCCCAATACTGCCAAAAAAAAAAAAAAAAAAAAAAGAGTGCCTACATAGGGCTAATGATATAGCTCAAATGGTAGGGTGTTTGTTTAGCATGCACAAGGCCCTGATTTTTATTCCAGCACTCTCTCTCGTACACACACACACACACACACACACACACATGTGCAATGAATCAAGATATCTTACTTCTGGAGGCAACCTAGTGCCTACTGAGAGCATATGGTGGGGAGTGTGCCTGATGGGGTATACTCAAGGTTACTATCCAACATTAAAACAATAACTAGATATACAGCCACATGAATAGACCTAAAATCAGCATTGGATGAGAAGTAAAAAGAGAATACAGTCTAGAACACAATAAAATTGATTAAAGTAAAAAACCTACAAACACATTGCACAACACAGTATTACAGGATCCATATATTTTCAAGGACAAAGTGTCAAACTCGTTCAAGTGTTTGCTTAGGCAGGAAGGAGATTGGGAGTGTGCAACCAGGATGAAGGGAAAACATGCAAATGAGAAGATGCTGATGGTGAGAGGGTGACTTGAACTGCAGAGTGGGGATAGCTGGAACCTCACCTCTAGTCCAGCAGGAACAATGTAAGTGTGTGCATCTCAAGCCCCACA